CCTGAGGGCTTCTTTTGCTGCTCTCTTTATGCTTGTTCCAGTTGTAGGGTTAGTGTTTTCATTATGGCCCTTTCTTCTTTTTGGATGTATGCATTTATTGCTATTATGTGCATTTACTGAGCACTGCTTTTGCTGTGTCCCAGAGGTTCTGGTAGGAAGTGTTTTCATTCTCATTTGATTCTGTGAATTTATTTATTCCATCCTTAATTTCTTCTGTAACCCAGGAGTTTTTGAGCAAGGTGTTGTTCAGTTTCCAAGTGTTTGATTATTTTTCCTTCCTTTTTCTGTTGTTGATTTCTACTTTTATGGCTTTATGGTCAGAAAAGATGCTTTTTAATGTTTCGATGCTTTGGATTTTGTTAAGGTTTGCTTTATGGTCTAATATATGGTCTCTTCTGGAGAATGTTCCATGTGTGTTGGAAAAGAAAGTATACTTTGCTGCTGTTGGGTGGAGCATTCTATATATGTCTATGAGATCAAGTTGGTTGATTGTAGTATTTAGATCTTCCGTGTCTTCATTAAGCTTCTTTCTGGATGTTCTCTCCTTCACAAAAAGTGGTGTGTTGAAGTCTCCTGATATTATTGTGGCGCTGTCTGTCTCTCTTTTCAATGCTGTTAGAGTTTATTTTATGTATTTTGGAGCCCTGTCATTGGGTGCGTAAATATTATAATTATGTCCTCCTGGTGTATTGACCCTTTAATCATTATATAGTGTCCTTCTTTATTCTTTGTGGTGGATTTTAAAGTCTGTTTTGTCAGAGATTAATATTGCTACTCCTGCTCTTTTTTGAGTGTTGTTTGCTTGATATATTTTTTCCAGCCTTTTAGTTTTTGTGTCTTTAAGTCTGAGGTATGTCTCTTTTAGGCAGCACATAGACAGATCGTGGTTTTTTGATCTATTCTGTCACTCTCTGTCTCTTTATTGGTGCATTTAGTTCGTTTACATTCAGCGTAATTATTGGTAGATATGAGTTTAGTGCTGTCATTTTGATGTCTTTTTTTGTGTGTTGTTGACAGTTTCTTTATTCCACCTAATTTTCTGTGCTGTGTCATTTTTCTTTATGTATTTTCTTTTCATCTTTTTCATTGTTGTTGATTTTGTGTTTGCTGAGTCTTTATATTTTTCTAGTTTTTTATTTTGACTTGTAGGATTGTTTGTTTCCTTTGCTGTTACCTTAATATTTACCCTTATTTTTCTAAGTTTATACCAGTCTTTTATTTCTTTATACACCTTGACTTCCTCTCCATATGCAAAGTGTATGTCTGCATTTTTGTTTTAATGTTGTCATCTTTTGCATATTGACATCTGTTTTCATATTTTCAGTGTTTTAGCTTTGATTTATTTTTGTGACTTCCCTGTCTGGGTTGATATCTGGTTGCTCTGTCCTGTGTTCTAGTCTTGGGTCGTTATCTGATGTTCCTGATTTTCTAACCAGAGGACTCCCTTTAGTATTTCTTGTAATTTTGGTTTGGTTTTTTGCAAATTCCTTAAACTTCTTTTTATCTGGAAATGCCCTAATTTCGCCATTATATTTGAGAGACAGTTTTTCTGGATATATAATTCTTGGCTGGCAATTTTTTCCTTCAAGGCTTTATATATGTCATCCTATTGCCTTCTTGCCTGCATGGTTTCTGCTGAGTAGTCAGAGCTTAGTCTTATTGACTCTTCTTTGTAGATGACTTTTCGTTTATCGCCAGCCGCTCTTAAAATTCTCTTTTTATCTTTGATTTTGGCAAGTTTGATTCTAACATGTCTTGGTGACTTTCTTTTGGGATCTACCGTATGTGGGGTTTGATGAGCATTTTGGATAGATATGTTCTCATTTTTCACAATATCAGGGAAGTTTTCCGCCAACAAATCTTCAACAATTCTCTCTGTATTTTCTGTTATCCCCTCCTGTTCTGGTACTCCAATCACTAATAGGTTATTCCTCTTGATAGAGTCCCACATAATTCTTAGGGTTTCTTCATTTTTTTAAATCTTTTTTTCTGATTTTTCCTCAAATAAGTTGGTGTCAAGTGCTTTATCTTCAGTCTCACTTATTCCAACTTCAGTTCTCTCAATTCTGCTCCTGTGACTTTCTATTGAGTTGTCTAATTCTCAAATTGTATTGTTAATCTTCTGGATTTCTGATTGCTGTCTCTGTATGGATTCTTGCAGCCTGTTAAATTTGTCATTATGCACTTCTCTAATCTTTTTCATTTCCTCTACCGCGTGTTCTGCGTTTTGCTTAATTTCCTTCCTAATTTCTTGAAGAGTTCTGTATATTAATCTTTTGTATTCTGCCTCCGGTAATTCCAAGAAATTTTCCTCCTCTGGAAAATTTCTCATTTCTTTATTTTG